TACATATAGTATTTTATGAGAGAATTTATTAGACCACGAATCATAACAATAGACAAGAAATGCATTTTTTCTATCATTTAGTGTTCATGATAGACTGCAATAAAAAGCTTATAAATATTATATATCAAGTTATTTTGAAATATTCATGAAAAATGTTCAGGATTATAATTATTAAATTTTTGTAAGTAGACAATAAAACTTAAAAAAGAAAGAGTTTCCAGATCTTTGATGATTTTTTGATAATTTATCTGTATGTGATCAATCCTTTGAGTCAGAAGAGGCTTTAAAAGATACCAAAAACTGTTTCTACAATCTGACCTATACAAATTTTTAGGACAATAAATTTTAGTAGTTTCTATAAACGAAGAAGTTTGTGTTTGATCATCGTTCTTTTGCTTATAATTTGTCTCGAATCTTAGGGAGTTATGGCATTATAAAGAAAGAAAAAAGGTGAATTGACTTTCTGTATGTCCTTGAACTTCTGCATTTTAAAAGCCTCTTCTCTCTCAAACAACCAATCAAACACAGGAAAATTCTCAAAAAATCTTTATAGATTTGAAAACTCTTTGTTTTTTTTATTATCTAACCACAAAAGATTTGATAATTGTGATCCTTAACATCTTTTATGAATACTTCAAAACAATTTGATATATTACATTTATAAGTTTCTCGATAAAATCTTCCATGAGTACTAAATCATACAAAAAATTATATTTAATGACGATTGTTATGAGACATGATCTAGCAAATATTCTCGTTAGTCTAATCTACAGATCATATTGACACCATGTATCTATTATTTAAAAATCTTATTTCTGCTTTCGATATTATTATGAAAAAGTACTTACCACAATGAAATTAATAAGATTTAAGATAAAAAAAAAATGTTTTATGTCGATTAAGTTTGATGAAATGTATGTAATATTGTCCACTTTATTTTTGCAAATGATTCTTTTTTATTTGTGTGTGAAGCAATTATATATATATATATAATTGTTTTTACTAATCGATGATGTACTTTTTTTCTCCTTGTTTTTTCTTTTTTCTTTAACATACTCTGTGAAGAATGTATCCAGTCAAGATATGCTTGTTGCACACAAAACGATTTTTCTCTAATGATTTATGTAGAAAAAATATCTCATATAAAATAATACAAAAGCATGATTCACACGACTATCGAAAGGTAAATGATTATGGGATAAATATCATAATTTTTGTTTTGAAACGTTTACTATATTATGACCACATATACACAAATAAATAAAATCTCACAAAATTTTGGATAAATATTTTCATTCACAATTAAAATCAAATTAATACAATAAGACATATTTCTTTTTATAGATTTTAAAGATTTTATTCTTAAAAATAATCTAGTTTAATTGTAATATAACATCAACAACATTAAGTAGTAATGATATTTCATTATTTAAATTATATGATAAACGTACAATAGGCCAATAATAGATATTTTAATCAACTAAGAAGAATTTTTTTAGATGAAGACTTTCATGTCAATGTAATTGTCAATATTAGAGTCAATTGTTCTACTGTCTATGGAGACTGTGTTCTTACCATTTCTTAGATAAATTATGTTTTTTCCTATTAAATTCTCTTCAGAACAAGATATTGTAAAATCTTTTTCCATATATATAAAATAAGTTTATAAAATTACTGAGAATAACGTGCTCATCATATATATGTTTTTTTTTTCATCGATTGATGTTATTAATAAAGAGAGTTATGATGACTTTTTTTTTGTTTCGAAATTTAACTGACAATTTTTTGATCAATTGAAAACAAATAACTAATTTGCTAATGCCAATCGAAAAGTATAAAATGAATATCTATGATAACTTTTATTTAATCTTTCTTTATTATTATGCTAACGTATGTATATATTATTTCTAATTCTGTCCAATAGAATAAGAGACTTCATCATACTGTAATGATATACATCGAGTTATTTAAAAATTAATGATACTATTCCTACAAGAGAATTTTTTATACTGTTCATTTTATGTTAGATTTGGATATAAGAATTATACTTATATCACATCCATAAAAAGACTTATTATTTATCTAAATTATTTTATTAATATAGAATAGATGTATGAATATTTTTGAGAATTAAAAATATATCATTAAACAGAAATAAGTAATGATGATTATTTCCTTTAACATATTAATAAATTAATCATCAACTCTGAACTATTGTTCATCGTGAATGTTTGAATCATTAAGAAATTTCATTACAAAAATGTTATACTTCAAAAATTTAATTTAGACACTTGAATTCAATAGTTATTCATAAACCATGTACGTTCAAATAATTGAACAATATATTATTTTATATTTTTATAAAAAACAAAACTTGTTCAGATTCTACATTGCAATTCTTTCAATCGAGGGTGTGAGTGTGAGAGTTCATGACGTAAATAAATTACAAAATAATTCAATATCTTCATAAAAGCTAAGAGAAATTCTGAATATAATTTCTGCTAGAATTACCAATATAAATTTCGTAAGCATTTCACCCAATATTTGCATTTTTATTCTTATTAGAATTCTTTTCCATGAACCATTACTTTGAAATAGGAACTATAAGAGTTTAGCAGGATCTAGTAAGAGATAGCAGAATCTAGTAGGATCTAGTAGAATCTAATAGTATCTAGTAGGACCAGCAGAGTCTACCAGGATCTAGTAGGACCTAGTAGGATCTAGCAGGATCTAGCAGGGTCTACTAGGGTTTTTCGGTACCCACATAGAAGGAAACGTGATGTAAGTCGCTTCGCCGCACTCACACCAAGAGAGAGGTGATGTCAGCTGCTTCGTGGCACCCACATCGAGACCGTAGTAGACCCTAATAAATCCCGACAGATCCTGGAGGTCCTAGTAGATTCTGGTAGAATACAAAAATTTCCAATTATTTTGTAATTGAATTTTTTTGAATTACTTTGTAATTCATTTCCATCATCCAGTGGGGTGTGAACAACCAGTCTAGTCGGTACCAACACCCACACCCACCGAAATAGAATCTCTATCTTTATATCAAATCAATTCGTGGTACATTTCGTTCTGCAAAAACAAATTAACTGAACACGAACGAAACCACATTGCGGTCATAACAGCAAATCACTGTAATTATACAAACATGTTCCGACTGCGAGAATTTTTCTTGTCAGTGTCATAAATTAGAATTGAAGGAATGGCAAACGAGTGTGTGTGCTAATTAGAGAACAGCTAAACCGACACCCACACCCACACCTATACCCAGGGTGAATATCTTTTGGCTGACTTGATCTCGGCACTACCACTAATTGCAATTCTTACATAGATACTCATCACTCTAAACCTCCATGGCAATGACATCGGGCATGCAGAAACACAATATCTAGCGAATGCATTGCAAAATAACAGTGATTCTCGTTTCCCATTCTGACCTCGTTGCGAAAACGATCTTCACTTTTTGATATAGACACTCACTACACTCGATCTATTCGGGAATAAAATGGAAGACGAAGGAGCAAAATATCTAGCGATTGTTTTAAGAGAATAGTAAAGTGAATCTTTCTCCTAATCTTGATCTAGCTCATATCGCGATCTTCACCCTGTCATATAGGCACTCACCATATTCAATCTTGACCGCAATAAAATTGAATATAAAGGAGTCCAACAACTTTCGGATGCATTACCATATAACACAGTAAGCTTCTCTTCTCTGTCTTGATCTTAATTATATCACCATTTTCACATTTTCACACAGACGCTCATCAGCATTAGTTTGTTTAATAATAGCATTGGCTCTACAGGAGAAAAATGTCTGGCAGATGCGTTACGTCATAACACAGTAATCGGCTTTCTCTATGTTAATCCTGGCCTTACCATCATATTCACTTTGCCACACAGACACTCACTACACTCGATCTCGAATATTTTGGTTACATATATGATGAAGTACGACATTTGGCTGATGCATTAAGAAGTAACACGGTAATCCTCTTTTGCGGTCTTGATCATCTCGACATTATTATCTTAACTACTTTACACAGACACTCATCACATTAAATCTCGAGCACACTCACATCATCCTTGAAAATGCACAATATCTAGCTGATGCATTACTAGAAAATAAAGTAACCCTGTTTCCTATCTTCATCTAACCCATATTAACATCACCACAGTTTTGTGCAGACGCTCTACACACTCAACCTCTCATGTAGTGATTTCAAAGAAACAGGAATAAGATTTTTGGCTGCCGTATTACGTAATAATACAGTATTTTTCTTTCTCTATCTTAATCTCGCTAATATCGTTGTATTGAATATGTCATACAGACACTCACCGTACTAAAACTCCCTGGCAATTATATAGGAGATAAAGGCGTACGATATGTCGCTATCGTGATTCTCTTTTCTATCATAATCATATTCATGTGACCATGTGTAATTTTTCATACAGACACTCACCACACTCGATGTCGAAAGCAATAATATCGGACATGTAGCCGCACAATATCTAGCGGATGCATTACGAAATAATAGGGTAATCTCCTTTCTCGATCTAGACCTTGCTGATAAAATTATCTCCGCCTCTTAACATACACACTCACTACACTCAATCTCAAACACAATACCAAAGGGCGTACTAGTGCAAAGCACCTAATTGATGCACTAGAAAATAACGCAGTATTTCTTCTCTATCTTTAATGATCTCCCGAATATCATGACATGCAATTTATTGAATAGGCACTCATCATATTTTGTTTCGATGACCAAGAATTGGATTACGCACTTCGAAAGCGTATGGGCGAGCTACTTGAACGAAACAAAAGTCATCAGTGTAAATCGAATGAAAAGTAGATTAGCTCATCTCTTGACGAAGAAAACAACATCAACCCGCTAATCTCAACTATTGCTTTTAGCCACTAACTTTGCTATCGAAACAGGTTGAAGGTTTTCGAAAAAGATTATACTAAATAAAAATTATTTTAAACAAACGAAATTCAGGGTTGCTTTTGTTGATGTGTTTCGTGTTTATTTTATTAATATATTAAAACACTCACGAGAGCTCTGCAATTACAATGAAAAGTATTAGAATAAACATTAGTGAATGAAAACCTCATTGTATTGAAAAGTCTCTATCTATAACAAGTCAAGATCTGGTGATCCGTGCGACTGGAAGATTTGTTTGAATTTGCATGTTTCACAAGCTTCATTTGACTTCAGGTACGTTCGAAGTTTTAACAAAATCCTTTGATGAACTCTTTGGCAAAAAGCTGCTAAGTAAGCCCAATGCGTGTATTTATGTGGGAATACGTTTATCACATTCGAAGGCCCGGGGTGAGGATGGACATCAAAGAAAAGCAATCATGACGGATTTCGTCCTTGCTTAGAGGGCTCAGAAGAGGGTGTGTGGTGTGAGTGATGTAATTAAACAGAGCAACAACATCCACACCCTCATTTGAAGATTATTAATAGTTTTTGAACAAATGATATTTTTATACTAATAATGAGACATCTTTAATATGTTCAAATGTGAATATCGATTCAGAATGTCTTTGATTAATGTCTGAAAGAGGCATGTTTTTATTCGTCCTCTTTGGCCCAAACGCATACCTGAATTTGGTATATAAATAAATACATAACAGAATAATGTCTTTCAATTATTGTGTCTATATCGTAAAAATAAACGATGTCTTCTTCTGAATCGAGTGACGATGCAACCAAAGAACGAGGTATTTACGGAGGTCATGGTAGTGGTCAAGGTATTATGATGTATAATACTCGAAAAAATGTGGGATCAGGAAGTGGTTCTAGTGCTCATGCCGGTACATAATACTTCTTTTTTCTCTTTCTGGAATGCCATTAATTATTTATTTTTCTTAATATTTAGGAAGTACCGAAATATCTGAAGTTCGTGAAAATAACAAAGGTCATAGAGTATCCAGTTCGGGTATGGGTAATTCAACAGACGATGGCAGTTAGAATATGCCTCAGCAAAAATCTATTGAACAGAATTTCAGTTAGAATGATTATACGTGCGAAGCACTTGTGTTACTAAAGCGTTTAAACTAATATTGTTGCTGTAATAAAATGAAAAAAATTTGAAACAATATAAGTGATTCTCATAAAAATGACTTGTATGACAACGACAGTCACTTTATGCTTTGTCATTGTATATTTCCAATGTCATGTAAATGCATATCTGTTGTGTTTGCTGCTTGATATCTACTATTTGTTTTATAAACCAGTAAGAGACTCACACTTCTATTAACTGAAAATGTTTATGTTCTGAATTTAAGATGAGTGAAGGTTTCTTCAAGTTCATGGCATATAGAATTGTTATATTATTATCAATAATTTCGTTTGTTTCGAGCTTTTCATGTCGACTTTTTGGAATAGATCAAACAACGCTCGATACAAAATTTATCGAATTCTATAATGCATCGTTTCATCATAATGTGTTAGATTTAGGTGGTTCAGTATTTCAGAGTCCAGCAGCAACCGCAAAAATAGATAATCGTACATACCTTAGTACATATAATACTTTTGATAGTAAAGCTATACCTTATTTTTTCCTACTGATGATTGATGTTGAAACAAAGTCAATCAAACTTAATTTATCATTAATCGAAAAACATGATTATGCAGGGTTTTATCATATTGGAGTGACGAATGAGAATGGTAACATTTATGGTATCAGAGAAAGTTTCAAGTCTCCATTAGATTTAGAAGTAGCTAAAATCAATCAAACAACAGGTCTTATGAAAACTATTGGAATATATCCAACTGGTTCATTTAGTGTGATCATGGCTTTTGCACCGAAACGTCGATTGTATTATAATGTTATAGATTCAACACTCTATGGTATCAATATTGATACAGGAAAATTAGATGTACATAGTCAAATGCCTGGAGATTATTCGGTCTATGGTCTTGACTATGATTCTGCTAAAGATCGACTCATTGCTATAGTTTATCCAGGTGGATTAAACGATGGCGTATGGTATTTAGTTGAAGTCATCATAAAAGCAAAAGGTGAACTTGAATTTGATCGTATTGGTAAAAGTGAAATTCCATTGGAGAAATATTTTTGGTCAACAAACTATGCACTCGATGCAGAAAAACGTCTATGGGTTACATTATGGGGTACAACAGATGACAAAAAAAATTATTTTTTTGTATTCAATATCGATAATGGAAAAATTGTTGAACAAATGGCCACAAGTCTAACTGAACTAAGTAATCTTGCTTGCTTCGATTCAATTTGATTTTTGTCAAAATCTTCGAAATAATGCATTGAATAAATGTTTCATCAGAACAAAAAACAACAACAACTTCATTTATCATTCATTGTCACAATTAGATAAACATGTTATTTTGACATTAAGTATTTTATTTATTTCATCAAAGGTTAACATAATAGATACTAATCAAGTTAACAAAATGATATTTCATGTAGTAAGATAAATATGTAATAGAGAAACTACAAAACTTCTCAAGATAAATGCATGCATATACTCTTGAATATATAAATCAATATAATAAGTTCAATGGTCGCTGAGGACAGGTTCTCTTTTCACGATAGTTATTGTAAAATTCCTATCATTCATTTTCTAATTACATCAATAAAACATAATAAGCTTCATTTCTTTTTTTCCTTATGTTCATGTTGCAGTAACCATTATTGATCAACTCCGATTAGATTGATTATTTTATATAAGGTAGGTGGTGATGGTAACAGCTGTATAATCAAACACTGAATAAGCATTCTGTTAGCATAATTAGAATTCAGTTGTGTTGGACTGATTTCTAGTTTTTTTTACTGTACTTCAAAGAAGAACACAAGGGATCAAATGAAAGTTTTTTTTTCCTAAGTTACATGTAAAAAGTAATCAGACAAAGGGATAGACCAGTTTAAGCTGATAATGATGATAAATTCCAGATTAGTGCATCTCATATCAATCTTTAATCATCTACTTAGATCTGTCATTATCTAGCCAATTTCAAAATGATATACCTGTTGACTAATCTTATCAAAGATAATCTAAGAAATGAGCTTTTGTTTGATTCGATCTACTTAAATGTACCTGAGGTTACTTCAAGGGTGTGGTGTGGGTGTGGGTGTGGGTGTGGGTGTGGGTGTGGATGTGGCTGTGGGTGTGGGTGTGAGTGTGGGTGCGGGTGTAGGTGTGGATGTGAGTGTGGGTGTGGGTGTGGGTGTGGGTGTGGGTGTGGGTGTGG